TGGCGTGGCTGAGCGAGTCGCCGGTCTCGGGCCAGTCGGTCTGTGCCGTGCTCATGCCAAACGCTACCGAGAAACGTGGGTTGACGTTCGTCTGGGACGCTGCCATGAAGCCGGGATGGACTCCACGGTTTTCCTCCCCCATCATTGTCATGTCCTTCAGCACCCACACGTCCGAGAGAGTTTAGGAGCCGAGGGGACGTGCGGGCTCCGCGTCCTCCGACCTCCAGCACACGCAGAGCCGTCTCGCTGATGCCAAGCCGAGAGTTGCGGGTCTCTCGCTGCACTGCCGGCAGCGCCGCGTGCCGACGCGTTCGCTGGTGCTGATTGCGAGTCCCAGCCACGCGCCGACACTTGCCATGACGTCAGACGACCTCCGCGGGTGTGCAGGCGTACTGGCAAGTGATGTGACGTCATCGTCGTGTGGCGGGGCTTTGATGGGGAGGTGAGGCCGCCAGGGTTCGTGGCAGGGACTCGGGGGCGACGTAGATTTACGATCCGCTGCCCGCGTGGTCTGCGACGCTGACCGGGGCATCCAGCCCAGCCGCCAGCTGGGTGGTGTTGGCGGTGGCATTGGGCCGGCAGGTCGCCGACCAAAACGGCGAAGTCGTCGGCAGTCCTTAGGAAGCAGCTCGTGATGAGGTCATAGGATGCGGTGCGAATGCGCTAAAGAAGTCCAGCGGCGCCGCAGCTGGCCGTCGCGTCTGTCGTCCAAGACCGGGTGCAGTGTGCGGCCGTAGTCGCACACCGCCGAAGGGCACAGAGTCGTGCCGCCGCCGGCGTCCTGTGAGCACGACTGCGGAGAGCGCGGCGCGACAGTCGGGTCGCCCAGCGCAGAGCCGGCGGAGGCGGCTGCAGACAGGAGCGGGACGGTGCCGCCGCCGGCGTCCTGTGAGCACGACTGAGGAGAGCGCGGCGCGGCAGTCTGGGCGCCCAGCGCAGAGCCGGCGGAGGCGGCCGCAGACAGGAGCGGGACGCCTGTCCCGAGTGTCCGTATTGGGTGTCGGACCGATGACAGCCCGCCTCCGCAGGTCACGGAGCGGGGGATGCCTGAGGTGCCTGATGTGGATGGCCAGGATTCCGGCGCAGGTCCGGCACTCAGGGACGTTGTCTCGCGACATGCTGTGGGTAATATTGTCGTTCCCAGTGCCGCGTTCCCAAACCAGCGCCGCATCTGCCGAGCCTCCTCCGGGCCGAAAGGTGCCTGTGGAACGCGCCAGGCCTGCTCTCACGGATGAGCTTCACCGCGCGTCGAAGTCCCGTGGCTACTAGGTTCAGCGAAATTTCTCCTCCACTGCCCGCCTGGCGAGCTCGCGGCTCCGCCTGGTGACTAACAGGACGGCGTGCGCTGCCTGGCGGCGGCTGCGGCGTTGCGCGCGCTGGCAACCCTTCGGGTTGTCCTGGTCCGGCAGGAGGTCCGCGCCGTTCCCGCCGTCTGCCACCGGAGGTTGTTGTGCTGGCGGACGACAGTCGTGATGTTGCCCTGCAAGCTCCGGACACTTGCCAATGCATCGCCGGCCAGGGTGGTTGCGACGGACCCGGACGTCGTGTTTCACTCATTACAAAGGCAGTTTGGTCACGAATTCAACGCTCAACAAAATGCTCTCGGCAGGGAAATAAAGCTGGTGTAAATCTTGTGGAACTAGGCATGTCTTTTGCCAGTGACGAGAAAAGGCTGCGACGGAGGAACTCCGCGGAAATCATCATTTGAAATGGAAAATCCGAGCCGGCCGTGACGAATTCCAGAAAACTGGCTTTGCGTCGCGATTTCAGCACGCCTAGCTCAGACACGATCGTATACAGTTGCATTTTGCACTAAATCATCCGATAGCCAATGCGAACGAGACCACAGCACGCGACATGTTTTGCTTGCCTCGTTAGGCAGATAAGGTCAAATGCCATATAAGGTAAGACCCCTGCCGTAACAGTAATCAGACGGCAACACCAAACCGGCTGGGTCTGGGGTTCAGTTGGAGAAAATACCGTTGTCCCGAAGGTTTTTGAATATGAAGCCGTTCAGCAGTTCTCGCCACTGCACGTGGCGAAGCGCCGGAAACCTCGCGATCTCTGTGGCGAGCGTCAAGCTGTGTCGATGGGAATCTACGAGCGACTCAGGATGCATTAGTTCCAGCTGGAGCCGCCTGCTCGCGTGGAAAGGCGGCTGCGGGCCCCTCGTGCGGCATTTTCGTTCCCGCCGGCCCCAGCTTGAAGCCCGTGTCGGATCCCGACCGGAATGGGCTCCGGTCGGGTTGCCCGGGTCCGTGCCGCATGATTCGGCCATTTCCGTCGGTGATCATCACGCATCGACCGCTCGTAAAGTGGGGCCGCCCGGCCGGCGGGGCGCAGGGCCGCGCTTTACGGCCGCCGGATGGTCGCTCGGCGCGCCGGTCACTCTCCGAGCGCGCGCCGTCGGCGGCCGGGACCGGGCGCCGTCCGCGCCTGGCCGGCTGGCCGCTGCTGCGCCGCGGCCGCAGGCAGCGACCGCCGCGGTCTTCACGAGGGGGCGGGCGCCCCGGGGCTCGCCGCCGCGTATTGGATGGATATGACCGGTGACGTGATGTCGATGAGGCGGCTCTCGGGGTGATGGTCGCGCTTTCCGCTCGTTCTGAGCGGGGTCGGGGCGTGGCGTGACGGCAACGACGGTCGTCTGCTGCGTTGTGTGGTGGCGCTCGGCGGCGTTGGGCCGTGCCGGGACGCTGCCTGAGGGACGTTCTGGCCGTGACGGCCAGGTAGTCACCGCACGGCTGGGACTGGGCCAGCCCGGTTCCGCCTATCCAAAGTCCGCGCGGCGGCGTCGGACTCGCCGCCGCCGCCGGACGCACCGCGCGGACCGCGTGATGCCAGCTGGAGTTCCCGTCAGGCCGCGCGTATTCGGTAGCCGACCCGTCCCCGGCAGAGCGGCACTCCGAGCTGTTCCCGCTGGGCGGGCTGGCGCCGGCAGCCGGACTGGCCCCAGAAATGGTGGTGGGCGCTGACGCGCGGGGCGAGACCACTGGAACGGAACGGTCGCCGGTCTCATCCAGCGGCCCGGTCGGCGGTCAGGTCAGGGCGGGATGGTTCGGACCGGGCGACAGGTCGTTCATTGTTGAACGGCGCAAGGTGCGCTTCGTCGCCATGAATATCGGTCGAGGATCGCAGCCGGCGCTCCGGCACTCCCGTGACGCCTCCGGAGCCGCCGTGCCGCCTGGGCGGCCCGCTGTGACGTCTGCTGTCAGCGGTTTCCTGCTGATGTCGCCGGCCGTCTGACGCCGCCCGGAGGCGGGATGCTGGTCACAGAAGGGCGTCATTGCAGTGGAGGATTAACGATACGCTCAGCTGCTGAGCCTGCACGGCGTCGTTTGTCCCTCACCCCGGCAGGCGGGAGTCGAACCCTGTGCCTCTGGTTTCCCAGATGCGCAGCGTGACTACTACGCTGCTAGTATTCCGGCTACAGGAGGGTTTTATCGGCCAGGAAACAATTGGTACGTCGGTATTCCCGAACCGGCGCCATGCTTTCGGATGACAGTCGGCGCCTGTCCGTCGCCACAGAGGCGAATGCGACGGGGGAGATGAGGGGACCGTGATCGGTGTTCACTTACACGGGCAGATGTGACGGGGGAGATGAGAGGACCGTGATAGGTGTTCACTTACACGGGCAGATGTGACGGGGGAGATGAGAGGACCGTGATCGGTGTTCACTTACACGGGCAGATGTGACGGGAGAGATGCGAGGACCGTGATCGGTGTTCACTTACACGGGGAGATGTGACGGGAGAGATGAGAGGACCGTGATCGGTGTTCACTTACACGGGGAGATGTGACGGTAGAGATGAGAGGACCGTGATCAGTGTTCATTTACGCTGCCTGGATGCCTGACGTGACGGCGCCGAGATCGCCCAGATTGTGGCGAGTGGAGAAGCAGCTGGTACTGTAATCGCGCCTCATCGCAAATAGCTCTGATCTTTGAATGGTAATGCTGTGCTAAGCGGTCGAAACCGATTTAGGTGCTACATGTGTCGGTAGTCGTGATAATTTTGCAAGGTAAGCATCTGCAGCGTCTAAGTTTGCAAGCCAAGCTGGCAGACTGCTCACCACGCTGCATAATTCACTTGCCACAGTGGCCTATTCTCGTCTGGTCCCGGCCGGAGTTCTGCCAGCCAGGAGGACATTGCGGCCATGAGATGGAATCGCGTTACCAATCCTGCACAGCTGGCTGGCTACACCTAAACTTGTATGGGCTGACGTACGTGCAGGAAATGGCGGGAATACTCCGGACTTCCAGCTCCGAAGTTTGCTCTTTGAAACACGTCAGCTGTGTCGTGTCCCTGAGTGGGCACCGCTTGTTTAGGCACACGTGAAGCGCTTGCTAAGGTGTTATCGCTCCGCGTGCTTGACGGAGCATTGCAACAACTTTCTTTGCCACCGGCAGTCTCCTCGGGAGTAGTGTTCCTCCGTGGCAACGATACGACCGCCCCGCCCCTCTCGGTACATCGCGCACCATCGTGCAGCTGGCCGACTGCGAGCGCCGAGACCGCCTTTCTCCGTGTGGCCTTTGCCCATTGGCATGCCGTCAGATTGTGCAGCTCGGCGCCCCAGGCCTCAGACCACGAGTCCTCGTTTGAAGGGCATGATGAAACGCCCGGCTACTGCCGCCGCTGAACAAACAGCGCCCGCTTGTTGCCGCCGTGTGTTTGTGTATCTGTGTGTGTATGTGTGTGTGTGTGTGTGTTTTGAGAGGACATGTTCTCTTTTTGCTCCTCGTTTTTCGTCTCCCGGCGGCCCGCGTCATATCATCATCTCCCCGTCTAATTATGGTGATCCTGTATGGCTGGTGTCTGCGGCGTGCGGCTACCGCTGCCGCTGCCGCTGCTGCTACCGGCCCCGAGCCGCCGGGCAGCGGCGCGCCGTCTGGCGTGCGGCTACCGCTGCCGCTGCCGCTGCCAGCCCCGAGCCGCCGGGTAACGGCGCGCTGTCTGGCGGGGTTGGCGTTCCACCATGTATAGCGGACGCTCTCGCTGTTGCAGGACTCGCCCACCGGCGTGCCGGTCACCCTGAAGGTGGACCCGAACGGCTTCTACCTGTACGTGATGGACCAGAACAAGGTGAGCGGGCGGGGCGGGCGTGAGGCGCCGTCGCAACCGCGGCACCTTGACACACCGGCGCAGAGACGGCGGGGACCGGATGGCGCCGGGTGTGGGTGACGCGACGGCCGGGGCGCTGGGTTTCTGGGCGGGAGTCCCCGGCGTAGGGCATACCACCGAGTGGGCGCCCAGCACCCAGCGTTCGTTCGACGGGAGCAGACTTTCGCCGAACTGAGGCAGCGCTGAGGGATTTTCCTGCAGCAAACGGTGACGTTTCTGATGGCGCTCGTGGCATCTGAACGGCTTAAACCGGCTAAGCCTACTCAAGGAGAGGGAACTACGTTTTTGTAATCGGTTGAGGATTTGGTAATGCTACAGAAAGGAGGTCTTGATGGACACTCTAAGAATAATTTGTTGTTTTCGCTGGAAAGTTTAAAAAGCGGTTCTTAGAGTTAAGCCGTCCCCCTCGGCTGCGCCTGTCTGTGGTACAGTAGCGAAGCGTTGAAAAGTTATTTTGATGCGACAGTATGCGACATATTAGCTAAGTCTTTGTCGCATGACGCACTGTTTTCGACGAAAAGCTCCGTTAAAAACTAATAAACGACGGAAGACGTTACGACTAATATATAGTATAATATATATGATATATAATATGCATATGTATTATATATATATATATATATATATATATATATATATATATATATATATATATATATATATATATATATATATATATATATATATTGATAATTAATAACGACGTTAAAAACTCAAACGCGTCAGAAGAGATAGCACCGAGGACTCGTGGTGGACGGCTTGTGCATTGCCACGTGTCAACAGGTGTTGGTGAGCCAGTTGAGCTCGCAGGTGCGGCAGATTCTCATAGCACAGCTGGCCAACGGCTGGCTGCCGTGTCGCTGTGTCCCCACCGCCGGCCATGTTTAGCGCAGGTCAGCAGGGCGACGTGGACCTGGCACCGCCGTCGCCGGCGCCGGTACGGAAAATAGGCCTCCTGACGGCGTAGAGCCATGCCGCGCCGGCTGCCGGCTCTGGGGAGGTCACGGGGAAGGGACAGGGGTCAGAGGCGGGTCATGGCTCATTGTCGGGTTGGATAGAGGGGTCATAGGCAGGCCAGTGGAGGACGGCCAGACCCTCGCGGGACCGAATGAATCCTGAGGCAGATAGACAGGTAAGCAGATAGGCTCGAAGACAGATATATGCAGATCACGGGAACAGCCCGCGCACAGGTTTTTGCCCGCAGCCTGCCAGACCAGGACCTGCACTCCGGTAACACGCCGTACGCTAATCGACGCAGCACCCGAGATCGTCTGCGGGGGGGGGGGGGGCGATGGTCGTGGCGCCGTTGGAGCCGGGCAACACGTGGTGAAATACTGCTGGTGAGGACACTGGACGTATGCGGGCTGACGGTCCAACCGTGCCCCCACAGCTGTCGGCCGATGAGGCACCGGATCAAAATCAGAGCAGCGGACTCGTATCAAAGCATAGTATGGGCACCATAACGGCATCTGCCGAGATGCACGAGGTCAAACTGAGAAGTGGTAAGGCTGGGCATGCACTGCCACCGATACATTCCACGTATTCATGGTACGCCCCAGACTCTCCGCGCTAGCCGAGTCTTGGTGTTGTCGGACTAGGCGCCCTGTCTGCCCCGCCCGGCCGCTGATTCAGCGCTGACCGAGTCCTGATGTTCTCGTCAGGCGTCCTGCTGGCCGCGGCCCGGCCGCTGATTCAGCGCTGGCCGAGTCCTGGTGTTCTCGGGCTGGGCGCCCCTCTGGCCACCGCCGCCCGGCCGGTGATTCAGCGCTGGCCGAGTCCTGGTGTTCTCGGGCTAGGCGCCTTGCTGGCCACCGCCCGGCCGCTGATTCAGCACTGGCCGAGTCCTGGTGTTCTCGCCAGGCGCGCTGCTGGCCGCGGCCCGGCCGCTGATTCAGCGCCGGCCGCCGACGCGCTGACGCCTCAGGGTGACGCGTTACTCAGTCGGAGTCGGCCGCGCTCCGTCGGCCAGCGCCCGACAGCCGGTCGGCAGCCGCGGCCGCCTTGGCATGGGCTGCGCAACCGGGCGCAGCTCCGACCCCGCAGGCCGTTCGGCCCGTTTCTCGGGGGCGGCGTCCGTGCCCAGCGCCCGAGTGCTCCAGCTGGGACCGCAGCCATACAGCCGCGCCTTGTGGCACGTGCGCGCCGCCCGCGTATAGAGGTTACGCTCAACACAGGCCGCTACCGCTGCGGCGGCGGTATTGAGCAGAAGACCTATTCAAGTGAGAGTACAAGTTTAGGCTCATTCTTAGACCCATCCAAGCAGGCAACACTGTCCCCTTGAACGGAGGGACGCCCAGGCTACGTGACGTCCACCTGTCTCCGGACTCAGTGACCGCCATTAATACCTTGTGCACTGAGCCCCATTAGCACGTGGACTCCGTGACCACCGGCGCTGCGGACCGCCGTGCTGCCGGCGCCGTGACCTCGGGAACCGCCGTCAGCACGCGGCCGCGCCGGCGATGCGAGCGTCAGCGTGCGGCACCGCCACGCCCGTCCCGCCGCGGCGTCCGATGTCACCCCCGGGTGTCCGCCTGTGGCAGGCGGCGGTCAGGGGCCGCCGGCCCCCGCCGCGCTCGACCGCCGAGCACTACTACGGCGCTCGCTGTAAGGCGGGCCGCGCGCGACCCAGCGACGCCGCCGCATCGGTATTGCCGCCGCGTCGGTGGCCCTGATTGGACGACAACAATGCCGGCGGCCGGCGCCCCCGGGGATTCCCCGAGGTGTCCCGCCGGCGGCGCCGCGGCGTCCCGCCGGGCCGCGCTGGGGCGAGCCAATCTGGAGCTGGCGTGCGGCCGATCACACGGCAAATAGTTGTCGCCCCCGCCGTGCGTTGCAACTCAAGATGCTCGGAGTGTCCGCCTTCTTTTTGCTTCATTTGTCTCCTTTTATGAGGCGTGCATCCCAATCGTTTCCTTTTCTTTAACGTCTGCAGCGTTGGTGTATTTTCTGAGCTGCTGGCACGCCTTGAGGTTTCGAAGAAGGAAGATATCAGGCTGCGACGTTTCCAACAAACATTGGAAATGTTGCAACACGCAATTTTATGGAACGCTGCTCCGTCTGGGCCCAGAATACCGGTGTCAGATTGGAGCTCGGCATTGCAATCGTGGCGGCGTCCCGTTCGACGGCGCGGCGCTGATGGGTGCCGATTCCCCTGAGATGGGAGGCGTGCGTCCGTCACCGGTCCAGAGATGCCGTCCGCGGACGCGCGCGGCCGTGACGACCACTGGCCGGTATGGCGGCGCCGCTCCGGTCACGGCCGACGTCTGCTGGATGGGCGATCGCCGCTGGCGGCTCCGCGCCGGCTTCGGCATGCGTGGCTTCGCGAGCCGCCTGAAACCCAATCACACGCTGCGGAGGGCCTGATTCAGCCCGGTGGGCCGGCGGCGCTCAGGCACGCGCGGCGCGCCGCCCGACTCTCAGTCATCGGCCGGCGCCGCTTACCGATGGGCTTCCGTCAACCCGTCCGGCGACAGCAATATCAACGCATGCGTGCCGTGTTGGCGCATGGGTGATGAATGGGGCGGAGGCCCCCCCCCCCCAATCATCACTCAGGGAAGACATCGCTGAAAGCATCGCGCTTGGCTGGCTGCCATGGGTTGCCATTTGACGCGTCTGTCGCTTTCCTCTCTAATCAAGGACGTGAGATGTGGCTGCTGTGCCTCTGCGCTCACTCCCACCGCTCCGTTTAATGGGTGCCGCGCCGTTATTGTTGCCATAATGCCTCCTTGTTCTGCGGTCGCTGTGGGTTATCGCGCCCGCCCGAACTCAGCGGGCGACGGGCAGACGACGGGCGCCGACTCTGCGAGCGGCAAACGGCGCTCCATGTGGGGGGGGGGGGGGCTGCCTGGCTGCTGCCGATCGTGGGTGACCCCGACACCTGGACAGCGCCGCCGCGGTCGGGTCAGGTCACGCCGCGTCGGGCTCGTGACCGGCGGCCTGTGAGGCGCCCGGCCCGCGGCCCGCGCCCTGTGGTCGGCGCTCGTCACGGCCCCGGCGCTTGCGTTGTGTTTGTGAGCAAGAGAAATGATGTGTTTATAGGGGATTGCGTGGCGTGTACCAAGAAGATTACGTGGTGAGTTCGAGGAGGGTGCTATGCGTTTGTAGAAGATCGCCCGTTTGTTTAGTGGAGGTTACCTGATGCGTTCACTGACGCTCGCGTTGCGGAGAGAGCACTCGGGCTTGCCTTGGATCTGCTAGACTGGATTGGCAGAGGTCCTTTGCTCTTCAGGAGGTTGCATGTGAGCCTTTTCAGGAGCCTTCTGAAGCGTTGGGATGGGGTGTGACGCCTGTACGAGCGACCATCGGGCGCGAATGTTGGAGCCTGTCGCGAGGCCTGTACGAGCGACCGTCGGGCCCGGATGTTGGAGGCTGTCGTGACACCCGCACAAGCGACCGTCGGGCCCGGATGTTGGAGGCTGTCGTGGAGGCTGTACGAGCGACCGTCGGGCCCGGATGTTGGAGGCTGTCGTGGAGGCTGTACGAGCGACCGTCGGGCCCGGATGTTGGAGGCTGTCGTGGAGGCTGTACGAGCGACCGTCGGGCCCGGATGTTGGAGGCTGTCGTGACACCCGCACAAGCGACCGTCGGGCCCGGATGTTGGAGGCTGTCGTGGAGGCTGTACGAGCGACCGTCGGGCCCGGATGTTGGAGGCTGTCGTGGAGGCTGTACGAGCGACCGTCGGGCCCGGATGTTGGAGGCTGTCGTGGAGGCTGTACGAGCGACCGTCGGGCCCGGATGTTGGAGGCTGTCGTGACGCCCGACAAGCGACCGTCGGGCCCGAATGTTGGGGGCTGTCGTGGAGGCTCATGTGGTCCGGTGGTCGCCACCGGCGCCGCCCACAGTTAAGCCGCTCCCAGACGGCCGACGCCTGGCCGCTGTCATCAGTGGCGCGGCTGTTCGTCGATGAGCTGACGCTCGCGTTGCGGCTGGCGGCTGGGCCTGTGCGGGGTCGCCGGGGTCCACGCTGCCCGCCGCCGGGAGCGATCTTCTCCAACCCTCGTGCTGCAGACCAGGGATTCCCGGTTCCCGGAACAAACCCCGATAAAAGGGTATTCGTGCAGGTTTAACGGCCAGGATTATGTATCGTCTGCTCGGGAAAGTTCATACATGCTTACGAGCAAATCACGGAAGGTGCCGGCATTTCGGTTCTTTACTCCCTGACATACAGCTGTGAGCAATACCGTTATTCCATATTTCGCCATATTGACGTCGACATATGGACATCGACAGTGTGTGACACATCACTATGTCACATCGTCGCATGTCGATGTGACATGGTGATATGCGAAAACAAGTAAGGTTCATAGCTTGAAATGTAGCCCGTTTCTGAACAATTGCACAGGATACCTCATGCCCTGTATTTCCGTTGTAAGACTTTGTATTATCGTTGAAGCCACTCTGATAAGTACTGTGCATTAGTCTGGGACTGTTCACAAGTGAGGTTGCATATTTTTGGCCAATCCCCCTGCTCCTGGTTATGCATTAGTTGTTCTGGGTGAAAACTCCTCTTCCCTGTTAACGCTGCGTTGAAGGGAGTATCCACATTTGTATTATATTTTGACTTGAAGCAGTCATTTTGGAGATCATTCGGTGCAGTTCACAGCCCTGCTCTACTTGAGACCTAATACTCTAGTTTCTGAGCTATATGTCTGCGAAGATGCGCAGACTATTTCTTGGTCATTTAGGCGTGCATGACGCCATGGCAACGCCATTCAGGTCCTGCCACCCCACGGGCCATGCGGCGTTCAAGGCCAGGAAGAATGTTAGCGTCCAGCCGTTCAGACCCGGCGTCCGTGAGCACGACGCCCAAGTATAGTGGACGTAAATTGGCTCTCAATCATTGTTGACCAAGCTGTGCAAGTTTCAGTCACAAATCCTGTTTTGTGATATATGTTAAAGAAGTTAGACACAATTGCCAGTTATTACGGAAATAACACTTGTAGTAGAATAACTTAGCGAATAGCGCCAGTACCGAGAATATGAATGCAATTAAACTTCTGAAACTTCCGGAAAAATTTGCAAGAGCATCACCAGAAAGGGCCAAACCACGAGCACATACGAGATTGGGCTCAACGCCTTCCTTGGTCAACGCCTTCCTTGGGCTCGGCAGCCTTCCAGCACCGCCGCGCCTTGTCTTTGGTAGCGAATTCAGGTCCTTCACAATAATTTAAAGGACTTTCAAGACAGCTTATTTGCGGGCAGACGGGCTGTCGCGCGTGTTTTTGACGCGGGTTTTCCGAATCTTAAGAACCGGACAAGAATTCTGATGGGGAGGTACCGACAATCAGTGCTTGTGCCTGTGGAGTCAGCAGTTGTGCGTGTGAAACCGGTTTTTTGCAAGCATTTCTTTCGTTTTTGTGTCACGCCCGTATGATGTGACGGCTTCATTTATGCCTGCTCATTGTCGAGCGCCCGTACGTCGTGACTACCGGATGATGTGTCGTGCGGCATTACAGCTGTACATCACCAGTACCGTCACGGGTACGGTGTGAGCCGTATGTACGGGGCGTCTTTTAGGTGATCGAACGATTAGCTGCTGCGTCAGTGGTGTAACCAACCCGAATGTTGCTGCCTACAGGAGGTGGAGCTGCTGGACATCATGACGATTCGCGACACCCGCACGGGTCGCTACGCCAGAACGCCGAAGGTGAGCGGTCGGCGAGCGTCGCTCGTGGCCGGCGTCGGTGGCCGGCGAGCGCGGCTCGGCAGCCTCGTCTGCCGATCGCCGCACGTCGCACAGCTGTGACGCTGCCAGAGCCATCTCACCGCCGCCGAGTTGACAGCCGCGTGAGGGAGGCGGCCGTATCTCATCTGCGGTGACGGCGGCGCAAGTCCGCCGCGACTTAGATAGTTGCAGCGGCAGCGGCGGCGGGTATTACGGCACGCTCGGCCGGGCTTGAGCCGGCCTGACGTACGGCCGCCTGTTGGGCCTGTGGGACGCCGCCGGCGTGCAGGCGGCTGATCCGGCGCCGTCGGCCTTCGCTCGGCCGACGTCGTCCGCCGACAGCGGCCGGCCTCTGCCTGACGCCGCCGGCGCCGTTCGGAGAACGCCGCCACTTCGTCGCCGTGTGGCCGTGCCGGCTGTCGGATCGCGGCGCCCGACCAGATGTTCGGCGCTGCGGGACGGCGCGGGGCGGGGCGCGCGGCGCGCGGCGCGCGCGGCGCGGACCTCGCACCTGCGGCGCCACCCGGTCACGGCCGCCGACACAGGTGCGCGGCTGGCGCGGCGGCGGCCGCGCTGGCTGCGAGCAACCGGAGGGGAGGGGGACCGGTGTGACCGGTCATCGTGCCGCCGAAGCCACGGCGACCCGCGTGGGGTAGGTCGCCGTGACGTCACGCCGAGAAGGCGTCACGGCCCGCCATCTACCGGACGTGTTCTCGGGGCCTGCCGCGGCCGTTGCGTATAGGCCGGTTTTTGCGCCGTATTTGCCGCACCGCTGCGGCACCGCTGCCGCCCCGGAGATAGCCGGTGGCGATTTGTCACTGGGCTCATCTCCGGCCGGAGTTAATTGGTTCGTCGACGGCGACGGTGTGACGGCAGCCTGCGAACGTCCGACATTCCGAGTTGTCGCGGGAGTTGTGGCCGGCTGGCGGCGGTGGCGCGGCCAGCGTCCATTACCAGCCGCCTCAGCGGGGCCGAGCAGAGCGCGAGACGAGAACCGCACGCGCCGCGATCCGGGCCCGATCGGGACCGGTGCGGTCTGGCGCGGCCGAGCTGATGGTCAGCGCCGCCATTGTGAAGCGGCGGCTTGGCGCGATGGCAGTCATTGCTCGGAGCGCGACCATTGGGGCTGTTGACGCGGCGGCGGCCGACACCGGACGCCGGCGGGCATTGTGTCGGTCGACATTGACCCCGACGCGGCGGTGCCGATCGATCGGTGGCCGCTGCGATCGCGCCGCCGCCGCCGACGACGACGCCGCCGGGCCCGGCCGTGATGCCGCCCGGCGGGACCGCTCATCGGCGACGGCGGGTCAGACGGCCCTGGCGGCGGCGGCGACCGTCCGACGCCGCCGCTGACTCGGCTGCCACGGTCCTGTGACGTCGTCGGCGGCCGACCGATGCCACGGGCGGCCGCCGCCCGGGCCGCCGACGCTGCGGGCGGCGCCGTGACGCGGTCAGCGGCGCCGCCGCGGCCTGGCCGCCGCCGCGGGCCCGGTCGGCCGCCGATCTCCATATAGACGAGCGCCGCTTCGGAGCGTCCCGGCCCGTGACGCGCCGTCTCATCAACGCGTCCCGATTGGTCCCGCCGGCGACGCCACGGCGATCATCGGAGGCGACGAAGGGTGTACTGAGGGGGCGTGCTGCGCAGTGGCTGGCGGGGGGGGGGGAGGGGGGAGGGGGAGGGGAGGGCAGAGGCACTTCATTGCCAATAAGAACCATCCCCAGCGGAGCGGCACTCAGGTAATGCTCGCCGCTGCCTCTGGGAGCGCGCCGTCGGGTTGACTTTGATATCGGCTCGTCTCGGGCGTAGACCGCTTGACGGTTGGCGCTGGAGTGATGCTGAGTGGTTGGCGGTGCGGCCCGAGACAGCAGATGCGTCGCGATAGTGTGTTATCAGCGTCGGCCGTGCCGTGGCACACAGAAGCAGCACAGACCACGACCGTGTTTCCCGGCTGAAGATGTGACGCTTTGTGCCAACGTGTCGTCAGGGGTATTGTTACCATGGCGTCCAAAGCATGGGATAAATCTGCGCGAATGAGGGAGATTAAAATGTGGGGCCCTAGTGTCAAGCCTGCTTGGCTCTGTTGAAGCCTGCATAGAAGTGTTCGGTCGTACGCACCACGTTCTGACCTCCCTCGCTGTCCCAGCAAGAGCGACCGTCATACTCTGCTGCTGTGTATTGTGCTGTGCCTTGCTGTGCCGTGCTGTACTGAGGACAGGTGTGCTGCGGTATGGTGCCGTACTGTGCCGTGCTGTACTGAGGATAGCTGTGCTCCTATACTGTACCGCACTGCACTGTGCCGTGCTCTGCCGTGCTGTACGGAGGACAGCTGTGCTGCTGTACTGTACTGCACTGCACTGTGCCTTACGGTGCCGTGCTTTGCTGCACTGTACTTTACTGCACTGTGCCGTGCTGTCTGACGCCCGTCCCCGGCGCCGCGCCGCAGGACCAGCGGGTGCGCGAGATCGTCACCATGGGCAGCACGGGCACCCTGGAGGAGAAGACGGTGACGGTCTGCTACGGGCCGGACGTCGTCAACGTCAACTTCGTCAACTTCTGCTGTAACAAGATGGAGACGGCCAAGGTACGCAGACACGCGGGCAGGGGCGGTGACGGCATCTCGGATGCCGCCGGGTGTGGTTCAGGTTCATGTTCGATGTATTCACGAATCGTTCCGACAGGTGGCTTATTGTTTGATTGGGTACATTTTCAATAGTACTATGATTGCAATATAAAAAACACGGCAGCAATGCGACCATATTCGCACATCAGCCGTCCAGGCGCCGACACAACTTTGTCAAGAACAAAGTACATTCATCAAAATATAAATTATCAACACGTGTTACACACCGACGAGCAAGCAATGGTCACCCAACGGGACCGGCTAAATCCTCCAGCCTGGTACGAAACTCATGGCCGCTGCGAGAGACGGTGGTGGCGGTGACGTTATGGACACTGCCGCGATGTGACGCGACTGAGCAGCGTCGGGGTGCCCGCGGCGCTGTGGGCGCCGGCGCTCTTGCTGCCTTCAGTAGCATCAAGATAGCAGCGCTGTCTGCGGCCGAATGGGCGTGGGCTGGAGCAGATGACGTGGCCTGGATTGTCGAGCTTGGATGATGTTTGGATGGCCGTGGTTTATTGCCTTTCGTGAGTCAATGAACTCTTACGTCAGCAGTCCAGCCGCAGCAGTCTCGCTCACTGCGACCCGTGCAGGACAGAAAGGCCATTCCAGCACTGGGCGTGTAATGCTTTTTGCTCGTCTATTCGCCGCTTCGTCTTCATTCGGGTAACAGTACAGTAGATTAATGCGGTTGCCTTGCCTCTCCTGCGATTCTTCGCTCGCCATACCACTACCGGGCACCTAGCCGCCGCACGTCTCAGCCCTACTTTCGGCCCGTCGCCTCATTGCTCGCATCTGCCGCAGCTGTGGACGGACGAGCTGCTGAAAATGGCGTACAACCTGCTGGCGCTGCACGCCAGCGTCACCACGCTGCTGCAGAAGGCGCACACGCGCATTTGCAGGGACGTGGACCGCACCGGCCGGATCCCCGTCAAGCAGTGAGTATGACACCCACCCGCCGACCGGCCGGCGTCGGCCCGCCGAGACCGGCGGAGAGCGTCGGGCGGCGACGACACCCTCGCCCTCAGCGGGGCCGGCGTCAGCCCGCCGAGACCGGCGGAGAGGGCCTGGCGGCGACACCCTCGCCCTCGGCGGCGGCGGCCTGCCGCAGACCTCAGCGGAGACGGCCCGCCGGGACCGGCGGAGAGGGCCTGGCGGCGACACCCCCGCGCTCGGCGGCGGCGGCCTGCCGCAGACCTGAGCGGAGACGGCCCGCCGCAGATCGGCCTCATACTGCTTGTCATGAGTTTGTTCTTTTTTATATGTTTGTTCTTTATGATGCAATTGCTCTGCAAAGTTTTGGCCGTAGCAGGAGCTCTATGGAATTACCGTCAGGCTTGTTGATGTTTTTGTACGTAACGTCAAGGCCGTAGCAGGAGCTCTATGGAATTACCGTCAGGTTTGTTAATGTTTTTGTACGTAACGTCAAGGCCGTGGCAGGAGCTCTGTGGAATTACCGTCAGGCTTGTTGGTGTTTTTGTACGTAACGTCAGGGCCGTAGCAGGAGCTTTGTGGAATTACCGTCAGGTTTGTTAATGTTTTTGTACGTAACGTCAAGGCCGTAGCAGGAGCTCTGTAGAATTACCGTCAGGCTTGTTGGTGTTTTTGTACGTAAAGTCAGGACCGTAGCAGGAGCTCTGTGGAATTACCGTCAGGTTTGTTAATGTTTTTGTACGTAACGTCAAGGCCGTAGCAGGAGCTCTGTGGAATTACCGTCAGGCTTGTTGGTGTTTTTGTACGTAACGTCAGGGCCGTAGTCAAAGCGCGACAGAACCGAATTGGCTTGGAATGATAGCTGAATCATATTACAGATCATGTTCCAGTTGAAAATCTGATATTACAGTTGAAAAGCTGACTTTTGGGATCAGAATTTGTGCTGGTTCTTGGTCAAGTAAACCAAGAAAGCCTGTCTGTAACGCCCAATTCTTGCAGCCAGGAATTTGGCCAGGAAGGGACCAAATCAGTTCATATAGTCCCTTTTTTGTTGCCCTAGGGGACCTCTTTTTTTATTCCGGGCTCTGTTGAGCCTTGGGATCGCATCTTGATGCCGCGAGGGCCTGTGCCTGAAGTTTTCGAGGCCTGCGAGCGTCGTGGACTGCCAAAAGCACCGCAGGCACCCACACCACCTCCAGAAGGAGGGGGGGGGGGGGGCGGCCCGAAGGCCCTCCTCCTTGGTTACGCCATTGCTGCAGAGGACGTGCCGGCTGGATGCGTAGTCGATGTCTCATTTGCGTCTGTGACGGTCGGCCCTCTTCCCTCCTGCGTCCTAATTGGCGCCCTCCATCGCCAGCTTTAGCTCGCCGGCCGTCTTTTTCGGCGGGCTCGGCTGTCCGCAGCCTGTCGCCCTTTGTCCCGCCGTCAGCCCCAGCGGTGCTGACTCTCGGGCCGGCGGCTGGCGCCGTCCGCAATCGATGCCTCTGTTGTGTCGGCCGGGTTGGTGTCGCCTGTGGGTGACGCGAGGCGACCATCGCGCCGGCCTGACCCGCTGCTGACCCGGCCCGGCCCCCATTGATTGGTCGCCGCCTGAGGTCGCCGCGCCGGCGCCGCACCGACCGCCGCACCGACCGCCGGAGGTGCGATCGTGCGGCGGCGTCTCCGGTGGGGTCCCGTCGTTTGTTGGTAGATCTGTGCTTGGGTGGGAGGCGTCTGAGGGTACTGAAGCCGGCCACCGGCTCGGTGGCGGCGTGTCGGGGGATGGTCGACTCCCCAGGTGTACGGTAGATGCGTCTCCTCGGTGGCGGCGTGTCGGGGATGGTCGGCTCCCCAGGTGTACGGTAGATGCGTCTGCTCGGTGGCGGCGTGTCGGGGCCTGGTCGGCTCCTCAGGTGTACGGTACGGATGCCTGTTGCTGGGCAGACATTTCGCTGATAGTTTCTTCGATAGCAGTCTGATGAAGACCCAAGGACATAGTGCGCAGCTTTGGACAAAGGTCGCGTCAATCAGTGTTGTACGGTAAAGCAATAGCTGTGGAACATGCCATCACGTGAAACGGTGCTTAACGTCTTGGTTTAACAGCGCTTAACTCGTTCTCCTGCACAAATCTTCCGGAAGTAATACAGTTCGATCACGATTTTCATTTATCTGCGTGGCAGCTTATCGGATTGCTCCTAATTTCCCACGCGGGCGGAATCGCTGGCTGGTTCGACCGCACGCCCCCATCTATAATATAAGGTGCAGGTCCTGCCGATGCAGGTGATCCACAGCGGCTCCGTTACAGTTTCCGTGCAAGCGCCGATGCGAGGGGGCGGGAAACACGGCCGACTACGGAACAAAGGCACACACGTCATAAGCCACTGTCAGCGCTGTGGCCCGGCCCCCTCCCCGATCACACCACCCGCACCCATCAACGGCCTTTGACCTCGGCTCCATGTCATGACCTGTGGTGTTGCCTTCTCGCAACCGGTCGTCGCGGGACGTCCGAGCAGGCCGGCTGGCCGGTCGGACGGCGCGTGCGGCAAGCCCAAACACGCCGTCTCATTCCGACCGGCATCGTGGTGCCGGATCGGCCGCCAGAGCCGACCGCGCTGCCGCGCCGCGCCGTGCCGTCCGCCGGCGCCGCGCCGCGCCGTGCCGTCCGCCGGCGCCGCGCCGCGCTCGCCGGCACCGGTCGACCGACCCCGGTGCCGAGAGCGGCCGGCGAGGCGTGCGGCGCTGCCCTGTTCGTGTCGCTGTTGCCGGGCCGACGCTCACAATGCGAGGGCGCTTTCCTGGCGGCTGACGCGGCGAGCGGCGACATTATGGCGTCGATCGGTGGCCGCGCGGCCGGCGACAAAGCCGCCAAGGCCGCCCGTGCCGGCCGTCGCTCGCCCAGCGAGTGGGCTCCGACCCGGTTGGGCAGGCGCCGGGCGGAGCGGGGCCGCGCCCGCCGCACGGGCCGGCGGACGGCCTAGCGGGCGCGCGGCTCGGTGGCGTAGGGTGCGCCGTTCGCAGCGCGCCGGCTCCGGTCGGTGGTGTGTCGCGGCTGCGTCGCTCCCGTGCGCCGGCGTCGGGCGAGGTGGTCAGTGCCGGCCGGCGCCGTCCCGGCCCGCCCCTGTAATCACGGCCGTTGCCGCCCGATCGGTCCGCCGCCTGACCGATGGAGCCTGCCGCCGCCGGCCGGCCGCGCTCGGCCGCCGCGGCAGCTGCACGCGTCCGGCCGTCCCGGGGCCGGCGCTGATGGCGCCGGGCGGAGGCGATGTATGGACTATTGCGGCCTGGCTGGCGGTGTCGGTGCATGGTCCGCCGGCCGGCCGCGCTGGCTGGCGGTGGTGTCGGTGCGGGGTCCGCCGACAGGCCGCGCTGGCTGGTGGTGGTATCGGTGCGGAGTCCGCCGACAGACCGCGCTGGCTGGCGGTGGTGTCGGTGCGTGGTCCGCCGACAGACCGCGCTGGCTGACGGTGGTGTCGGTGCGTGGTCCGCCGACAGGCCGCGCTGGCTGGCGGTGGTGTCGGTGCGGGGTCCACCGGCAGGCCGCGCTGGCTGGCGGTGGTGTCGGTGCGGGGTCCGCCGACAGGCCGCGCTGAGCTTGACGCGTGAGCGCCGGTCGCGAGCGGGCCGTTGCGGTCTGTCGGCCCGGCCGACCGTCGTCGTGCGGGCCGAGTCGATGTATCGACACCAGTGGCAGGAACTGGTACCCTCACCGCCACGTCTGAACCCAGGTGCCGACGCGATCAATGAAGCAATCCATCCAATGCCGTACTTGTGCCTCAATGCTCAACCCGTATGCAAGCCCCCATTCAACATACGAACGACGTGATAAACGGCCCACTTCAGGAAGCTCTTTACGGTATGAGGACCGCGGGCGTTTTTTCACACAGGCTGTGTGGGAGCCGACACAGGCGCCGTGTGTCGGCTCATGACGCATTGAACTGCTTTCGCCTTGGACTCTGAGCAGCACGGCCTTATCTTAAGAGTTCAGGCAGATATGGCTTAATTTTGGCGTTGATCGGATTCAGTCGATTCAGTAGTCAGCATTTTAGGCCACGTACCGTTCCCTGGAGACCGTAAATGTGCTCGGTAGTCCGATTTTATAGGACAGGAAAAGCGTTCAGGGTTTCATGTATTGCATGGGTAACAGTTATCAGGGTAGTGTCATTCGCTACTATTGACATTTATAGTCGAGTTGGGTCATTAATTATGCATCTATTTATCATTATTTATTGATTAATCAGAACGTTTGGCCTAGCTCCAGCTCTCACCCACTTATTTTCAAAGGAGTCCACCTGAACTTGACAAAGATCCGCCTGATTCTGGAGACGGCTCCGGCTTCATACGGAGGCAACCAAGCGCAGCTCTATCCAACAGCGAAGGTGCTTTCAGTAACAGCTGTTGAAAAATCCTCACAAGTTTGAGTTTTTACGTGCCTTACGTTTCCTTTGGATTAGGTACAGCCGAAAACATAATTTTATGTAATAACAACTCACAGACAAGCAAACAAGGCGGATGTGCGCCGGTTTTGCTCAGTTTACCCAAATTCAAACCATGTAAGCCGAAGGGATTTAAGAGAGCAAAAGCCGTCTGTTACAAAAGTTTCGTCGTGCGCAATTGAAGAACTCTCAAACGGGGGGGGGGGGGGGGGGGGGGGGGTGATACGGCGGGCGTCGTACGACATATGCGCATCCTCACACGGTTTGGGACCATGGACGACCGTTGTTGCTGCATTGCTGCAAACTGCAAAACACAACCTTTGAGCATTAAATCGATCAAGCATTAGCACCGTGTGTGGTGCGTTACCATGGTACAAGTTGCTATGAACGCGTTCTTCTGCCTGGGAGCTATTCTGATCTGGTCAGCAGCGTCTTACAACGCGAGGCGATCAGCTGCATGCGGAGGAAAACTTCTGACAATGCTCTCTGACAATGACGGGACCTGTTACGGATTCTCTATCACCCACAGCGTCACTTGTGCCCCTCACACCACACGGACGTCGTGGGGTCGGCCGGCGCCCGGTGGCGCGCGG